TCCTCAAACTTGTTTTAAGTATTTAAGTTAAAATGTTATATAGCTAAAAGTTATAATATTTCAAAGTATATTAATGGCTTTACTTTTATATAGTTTTATATAGTTAACCGTGCATGCTCTCATCTCGCTTTTAAACGCTTTCATCATCTCCGAAAAAGGAAAAGCCGTTGCTTAAGCATTATTTTTATACCCTTGCAGGGTGTTACAATTTCAGTTAGAAGTCTGTAAGTATTAATGAACATTAAGTAACTATGATCAGTAAATAACTATGATCGGTAATTAACTATGATCAGTAACTAACTATGATCACTAAGTATCTATGACCAGTAAGAAACTCTGAACAGTATTTATTTATTACCAATAAGTATTTATAACCAGTAAATAACTATGATCACTAAGTATCTGTGACCAGTAAGTATCTATGACCAGTAATTAACTATGATCAGTAAAAAACTCTGAACAGTAAGTATCTATGACCAATAAGAATTTATGACCAGTAATTAAGTATGATCAGTAAGTATCTATAACCAGTAAGTATCTATGATCAGTTACTAACTTTGAACACTGCGTAACTATGATCAATAAATAACTATGATCGGTAATTAACTATGACCAGTAACTAACTATGATCAGTAAGTATCTATGACCAGTAAGAAACTCTGAACAGTAAGTATTTATGACCAATAAGTATTTATGACCAATAAGTATTTATGACCAGTAAATAACTATGATCACTAAGTATCTGTGACCAGTGAGTATCTATGACCAGTAATTAACTATGATCAGTAAAAAACTCTGAACAGTAAGTATCTATGACCAATAAATATTTATGACCAGTAATTAAGTATGATCAGTAAGTTTCTTTAACCAGTAAGTGTAAGTATCTATGATCAGTTACTAACTTTGAACACTAATAAACAATGACTTGCAACTATTGAAACGCAACACATATCTAAGACTTGGCTGGCAGCAGTCACTTCGTTCCGGGGATGTTAGAACAAGTTGGGAATCATATGCACAGAGGTGCGAGGTTTGTTTTGGAACAAATTTAAGCGAAAGCGATTTTAATGAAACTTTGGAGTTATTCTATATAATTTTACTAGTATATTTGTTGGAGCATGACGAATCGGTGGACTGTATGTATATATTAATATATAGCTGTCATAGGAATAATCAGAAAATTTTAAGAAAAAATATTATAATTTTTTAAGTTCTCAACAGATTTTCATCAAATTTGAGATATAACCATTTTATATTATTCTACAATTTTGTGTAAAACTTTATGAAAATCAATAATACAGGCAAAGTCAAAACGGTAACTGAAACGAAAGCAGGCATTACTTTATTGTTTTTAACATAAATATATATATAATTTATATTGTATTAATTCCTATAGATCGATTTTCAATCTGTAAGGGTATACAAAACTTTGGCGTGCCGATGTTAGTTTCTTTTCTTGTTTAGTTTGTAAAATATATATAGTACAGTATAGTCTAGTATCGCGATCGTGAGCAATTTGGCAAAGCCTATTCGGTGGTGACACGCCCCCCAAACGCCCAGCTGTAAGCATTGCCATCATCTGGTCCATCGGTTGGAGCAGGAGCAAACTCAGGCCAGTTCTATAATGTTTGTAATGATCAGGTGCCGGCCACTTCCATTTACGCCCGACCAACATTGGGGCGTTATAATTACACCTTACGTTTTATGTCCATTTTTTTCGGTGCACTTTAACAAATTGTTATAGTTTTTTTACAAAACAATCCATTTTAGAGCTTAAATGCAAAAGAATTCATTAGCCTTTCCCTTGTTCTTATAAATAAGGAACTGCCAAAGCCTCGACTCGCGGTTCTATGCATTTCTAAGCCCGACCTTTGCTATATTATTTTGAAGGTTTATAGGTATATATCCTTCTTTTGTGGAGTGCATCTTAACCCGGGAGCTATCGTCAAGCGGAGGAGCTGCTCACTGGGACTTGGACAGGAGTTGGATGGAGTAGATGGTGCTCACTTTCCTGCCTCGCTGGAGGATTGCTCCCGGCAAAGTGAAATCGCGTTCGACTCGAAAGTATTCCTCGACAGCTAGGCCAGTAAGCAAATAAAATTAAAATTCCATTACGGGCATCAGGAGGCATCAACGAAATGGACCCAAATCAGAGAGGAACGGGGGGAAAAAAAGGAAGAAACAAATCCGGAGCAGGTCAGAAAAGGAGAAGTCCTCATCTCACATGTGCGGGATGGCATAAATATTTATAAACAATGCACAACGGAAAGCCAAAAGCGGCGGGCAACAACAAATCCGTTATAAATAAAACATAACGAGCAGATTTCCAGCTACGAATCCACTTGAAACGCTGGGACTTGGAATCGGACTTGAACTCGGACTCGGATTCGGAGGAGGAGGAGGTGTCTTTGGGCACTGGAGAAATGTGAGCCGACGACGACGACGACACGATGTCGAAAAAAATGTCAAAAACAATAAATCAAAAGGCGGCAAGCAGACCAGAAGAAGTACACGGAAAGAATACGATTGCATATACCTTATATTTGTTATTTAAAGAGAATATATGTTTAATATTTACCAAGACTGCAAGCAGGAATATATTATCTAGCAAGAAGGTTTCATCTCCTATTGTTTACAAAATCAGTTAACCAGCAGTCGATATAAATAAAGACTAAAGGTGGTTGAACTCCAAAACAAAACACCATTTACTCGTTAATGTTTTGTTTATTCTTTCGGTTTCAGTTTAGAATTTCTTGGCTCAGGGTTTTCCAAAATATACTTGTATTATTTATCCCCTTAGAATGTCAATTTTAATAATAATTTTCTCAGTGATTTATACCAAGGGGGTTGTACAGTTAGAGGTGAAATCCATTTGAACGGAAGCTTCGTTGCAAAAACCCTGGCAAAGATCTCTCTTTCGGCACGTTCCCCTTGAACACCGAAAGAAATTAAACCAAAAATGTAAGCTAATGTTGATCTATAAAAAATCGAACCCTTTACCATAAATTTTAAAATGAAAATTGTATTTTTAATCATAGAAAATTTCATTGAACTTTGAATAAACAAAGAATTCCTTATTTTGTTCGAAATATTGATATTATAAAGGTTAATCTTATAAGTATTTCTCTCTGTGTACCACTTAAGCCGCTCTTTACAAATTACTGACCAGCGGGCGTCCGATGAAGTGGCCCCAGGGGGTGGGTGATGGGAGTTGGGTGGCTGGGACATGCCGCTGGGCAAGCTCGCGGCATTAAAGATTTCTGCTTCCCAGGTAGCGTTGCCACGGGCAGGGAGGTGCACGAGGGGAGGCACAAATCGGTTGCGCAGGCGTCTGAGTGTCTTCTCCGTCGCAATGGCGCAGCTCTATCTTGCTCTCACTCTTACGAACTGAAGCTATATCGCTTGGTCCCTGTCTGTCTGCATTTTACAGTTTTTGAATGGAAATGAAATCATGAGAGCGGAAGTTTTGGGATCGAAATGCGAGGGTAGGGGATCGTAAGGCTTTTCAAGTCCATAGGAATTAGGTAGCTATATATTCAACCTAAAATCTCTGATATTAGAAAAGATGCAGAGATGAGACTTGGTATTGTAGACCTTAATATTAAATTATAAACTACATTTGGATAATATACCACTTGATACTTGGCTAAATAAGGATAGATTCTTTTTCTTATAAATACTTCGGGTTCGTTATCAACATGGCAGAACTCATGGCAACATTATTTCAAGCCAACAAAAGAGAGCCAGCATGTTGCCTTCGAAAGAAATGTTGCGCCAACAATGCCATCAAGCAACATGAGTACAAGCAGCGCGTTCTTTTAAAATAAGAACCTAATTCTTTTTTAAAGTTTCTTTACATTAAATAAGGCTTAATACGAAATTTTGAAGTAAAATAAATTTGGTTTAAATGAATATTTTTCTTTATTAGAGAAAATCTATTTCAAAAAAAAAAAAAAAATTTTTTCGAACAAATTGATAAATAAAATGTATGAAAAAAATAATAAAATAAAAGTATACAAATGCAAAACTGTTCTAAATTTGTTTCCCATTTAAATAACACTCGACTATTTAAATTTTAATTGATTACTTAAAATCTATAAAATATTTCTTAGTTTCTCACTTTGACCTACTAAAATCTGCCTTTGGGATTATTATTCCTTTATGGCTAAGAAGGTAAAATAGCATTTCTAAGAATAGTTTCTTAACTAACAAAACTATATCATTTAGTTTTTAGTTTTCACGAAATGTATTCCACAAACTCTGTTAATTTAATGAATGAAACCCAATTGGCACAGGCAGCCACATGCTGCTCGCAAAGAAAGAGCGTTAGCAACATATGCTGCCGGCTGAGCAGCAACATTCAAAAGCAGCATCCCCCAGCGCACGGTGGGCAAAGCAGAGGAATCTATGGGTTAATTCAAATTTTAAAAAAATATGGTAAAGAACATAATTATTTTCATTTTTTAAATTAAGCCAAACATGACTTTTAGACACAATTTCTAGTGCCTATTTTACGCATTCAGGGTAATATGGTTTTAGTTAAAAGCATACAACTTGGTGAAGAAGTTATTTCCGACCTTATAAATCATATATATTCTTGATCAGAATCAGCAGCCGAATCTATCTAGCCGTGTTTCGAAGAAATAAAAATTTTTCAAATATTTCCCAAAAAAGGAAAGGGGTTACATCATTAAAATTGTCAACAAATTTAAATTTTTTTTAATTTTTCAGAATTTGAAATGTGGTATGCAGATTTATTAATCTGCTAAAACCTAGCACAGAACAGCTTTCCGAACTAAATTTAATGACAGAGTTATGATATTACCCAAAAAAATGTTGATAAATAATTACAACTTAAAATAATTCTCCCCCGTTTGCTGCAACATTGCTCTCAACACTCCACTGTGCAGCGTTGGCAGCACCAGCAACATGGCATCATTAGCATCACGCTCTCCAGCTTCGGCTTTAGTACCGTACAAACGTCTGCCAGGTGAACAACAACACGACTAGCGGCGCAAGACCCGAGCTAGTCCGAGCGAGAACGAACGAAACGAACCCGAACCCGAGTCGCGCGTCGTGTCTTTTTGTTGCCTTTTTGTTCGAGTGCGAGTGAGAGTGCAACATGCTGTGCCGAATCCGAGGCCGGAGGTGAAACCGAAACCGAAACCGAAACCGAGTCGGAAGTCGGAACAGAGCGTCCTCCAGGACGGAGAGCAAGCATCAGGACACTTTTGGGCCAAGTTGGCGCGAGGACCACGCCGCTGCGAACATAACCACGCTGGCCGTTGACCGAGTGGCAACGCTGCCCGGAGAACCCGCAACCGCGACTGAGACAGAGACCGAAACCGAGACAGAGACAGCGATAGAGAATTGAGAATTGGCTGTTGGAGAATTGGCAGTAGGGAAGCCCAGGACTCTGACGAGGAGGGACCGAGCCAGGGACGGAGCAGCTGTTGCATGCCGTGACAGACTCGGTGACGCCGCCGTCGCTGCTGCTGCTGCTGCTGCTACCGCTGCTGTCGACGTCGTGAGTGCCGTGCCGTGCCGTCGTCGCGTCTTTATTTTTGTTGTTGTTTGTTTTGGTGACCGCGATCGCGATAACAAATTGATCCTTGATCCGAGTGAGTGACAGAGAAAGAACTACGAACTGAGAAGGATAGTGAGAACAAGAGAGAGAGTTGAGTGGAGTGGAGTGCGAGGTATCGCGTATTCGAGCCAATGTACGTAAACGTTCGCCAGGAGAAGGACTCCCCTAAGCACTAATATTCCAAAGTTTCATTCGATTTTGAAGTTTATTATGGACACCCCACGGTGCAAAAAAATTGGGAAATAACTTGAAAACCACTAAACCACAAAGGAATTCCAAATTAACCAATGCTGTTTTTAATTTAACTTCAAATTAAAGTCATAAAATGGTATTTATTCATATGAGAAATTAAGTGAAACTGCCTTAAAAATTCAAATCAATCTTGAAATATAACTATCAGAAAAGGAAATTAATAACTACGCCTTGTAAACTAAATTAAAAGATCGAATAATAATTTATTTCCTAATAGATTTGGCATTCCAGAAGTTGAGATTTATTTTGATTGCAAATTTAGACCAGAAACAATCAATTGCATTTATAAAATATAATTTCCATTCCAATAAAACAGATTTATTTAGAACAAAGGTCATTGTTTCTACGTTTAAAAACATAAAAATAAATAGAAAAAAATCAAATTGCTTTAAAATTTAATTAAAAAATTTAAATGATGAAAAAGAAAGTCTGGAATCAAGTTAGCAAATTTAAAGCAGAAAAAATCAATTGGATTTAAAATATAATTTCTATTCCAACATGACAGATTTAGTGCTCATTATTTCTACGTTTAAAAAACATAAAAAAGAGAGAAAATGAATCAAATTGCATTAAAATTTAATTAAAAAATATAAATGATGAAAAAGAAAGTCTGGAATCAAGTTAGCACTTGAATTTCTAATATTAATGGTGCCTAAAATAGTTTAAAAAACAACTTTGCAATTTAAAAAACAGGAAAATCCTTGTAAATGCAAATGTTTGAATGAGTTTTCTGGTTTAAAAATTCCCAAAATCAAACTCTAGTGAAACGCGGAATATGTGAGGCTTTTGGCGACCTGTGTCTCCTGTGGTCACTTGACCCCTTGCGTCTACATCATCCCATCAAACATTCCTTCTCCCAACCAGGGTTGAGTCCGCCGGGATGAGGAGCCTTATCCTGCCACTGATACTGGCGCTGGCCGCCGTTGGACCCGCCACCATCTCCGCCGGCAGCATCTCGGCTAATGATCCCTGCTACTTCGAGGGAAAGCCGCGCAAGTGCCTGCCGAGCTTTGTGAATGCCGCCTATGGAAATCCGGTGCAGGCGTCGAGCGTTTGCGGTGCCCAGCAGCCGGAGCGGTACTGTGAGCTGCTCCGCGACGGCAGCGCCGGCGAGTGCCGCCTCTGTGAACCGCATCAGCGGTATGGAGCGAGTGCGCTCACCGATCTGAATAATCCCAGCAATGTGACCTGCTGGCGCTCGGGGGCGGTCAATGTGCCCCATGACCCCGACTCCGCGCCGCCGGACAATGTGACCCTGACCCTGTCGCTGGGCAAGAAGTACGAGCTGACCTACATCTCGCTTTCGTTCTGCCCCCGTTCGCCGCGTCCCGACTCCTTGGCCATCTTCAAGAGCTCGGATTTTGGCCAGACCTGGCAGCCTTTCCAGTTCTACAGCTCCCAGTGCCAGAAGTTCTACGGTCGCCCAGATCGGGCCAAGATCTCCAAGTTTAATGAGCAGGAAGCCCGTTGCATTAATGCCCAGCACGATGCTGGTGCCGGCGGCGGAGGTGGAGCTGCCCAGCGGTTTGCTTTCAATACGCTGGAGGGACGTCCCTCGGCCAATGACTTGGATGCCTCACTGGTCCTGCAGGATTGGGTCACGGCCACAGATATTCGAGTGGTTTTCCATCGGTTGGAGCTGCCGCCACAGTTGCTGAAGGCTCGCAATGCCAATAGCTTTAGCGATGAGATGGGCAGCAGCCGGGAGGTCGATGAGGATGATGATCCGGATCTGGAGTTGGATGGGGAGCAGGACGAGTATGACTATAACCTGCAGGATAACGACAGTGCCGATGCTGGCTATGATGAGGAATACGAGGAGCCCAAGAAACACCTCGAACTGGATGATGACCTGCATCTGGACTATGCCAGCGATGGCGAATCCACCTCCGGCAAGCGCCACTCCAAGCACAAAGGCAGCAGCGCCTATGAGAAGCACTACCAGAGCAAACTGGCGGCCACCACATCGCCACAGCCACCGCCGCTGGTCAAGAGTCTGCCCGGGAAGACCACGCCCTCAAGTACTCCCAGTTCCAGTGCAGCAGCTGCACCTACTCTGCCCGTGTCCCAGCATTATGCCGTCTCCGACTTTGCCGTCGGCGGACGCTGCAAGTGCAACGGTCATGCCTCCGAGTGTGTGGCCACCATTGGTGCAGGAGCGGGAGCTGGAGTTGATCAGGATGATGGACAGGACGAGGATTCACCGGGAGGCAGCACTTTGGGTGGACACTTTGGACGGATGACCATTGGAAGCAGCGGCCTGCAGCTGGGCGCCAAGTTGGCCATGACCTGCGCCTGCAAGCATAATACCGCCGGACCCGAGTGCGAACGCTGCAAACCCTTTTACTTTGACCGTCCCTGGGGCAGGGCCACCGACAATGATGCCAACGAATGCAAGAGTGAGTACCCCCAAAGAGATCCCTATTATTTCCCCTTTAATTATGACTAAAAGTGGTGTCCTAGTTAGGACAATCCATTGAGATGTAGGGAAACCCTTACCATTAACTGTGATTAAAGTGAGATTTTAATAGGATTAATAAGATCTTCTGTACTTTCCCTTTAAAGTTTATTCCTTAAAACCGTTTCGAGTGTCCTTTATCCCTTTAAATGTAGTTAATAGCTTTATGAGACAGCCTTGGTTAATCACTTTTTTCGAGGGTAATTAATGATGTCTGGTTAATAATTAATGAAATCATTTGAAATGAGTTTCTATTTCAGTTCAAGATAAACTCCCAATGCGGTCTATCTTTAGAACAAAATTGAAAAATCGTATCCTATATTTCTTTAAACTAAACAATAAAGGGCTTATCTTACTTGGTAATAGAAGCTGACACTTGAAAAACAGTGAGATAAGGTTATCTGAAACATATTTCGGGGCTGTAAATCAATGCTATAGAGAGAAAATATTGAACTGTTCATGTTTCCCCATACACTGAGCCAATCTTTGCTTAATATATCAATTGAAATACATGTTTTCATATGCAAAAAAGAGCTGCTTACTTTCCAAGTGTTTAGTTATAGGTATATATTATATATTTCACACATATATACTATATATCATATATGCTTTAAAGAAGCGTGTCGTTTTGCTCGAAGACTAACCCAAATTAAATGAATGTCGTCTTTTGTGAAGGCGACGAAGACGACGACGACATGTTCTGAATGAATTCGAAACCACTTTGGACCTTGGGCATTAACATGACAGACGAGGTGGCGGAATCAGTATCATCTTTTCTGCTTCCATTGAACCCGAAGTGCTGCCTCCCCAGCCAACCATCCAACCATCCAACCATTCATTCATCTATCCTTCGAGCGACCCTCGGTCAAGACCAGAGAGTTCTTTTCATGGTCACTTGCAGTGGACACTGCAATTGAGTGCATTTGTTGGTTCTGGCAGGGAAATGGAAAAGAGGGAAAGGGCACAAGTATGGGCACTGGCACGGGTATCGAGTGGCATTTTCAATTGCAAGCATTGTGTGTGTGTGCCCCGGTTGTGCCCCTTCGATGCCCCTACCGATATATAGCCTCGTTACGGAGCACTCCGTACTCCGGATTGCCATCAACATTCTTCTCTCTTTGCATTTTTGGTGTTTTATTCAGCACTCGGAATGGAGCAGTTGGAATGCCTCGATGCGAGACGATTGTCTGTGAACCAGAGAGAAACCCACCATTATCCACTTTGCAGAGAAGGAAATACTATCTCTGGTGATAATCAAATGGCTCCTAATTCACTTTAAATCGAAGCCAAGCTCCCAAGGCAAGGAAGATATGTATATATATATAATAATTTATGAACAAATGAAAATGGTAATGTCAAAGTTTATGCCATCTTCATCATCATCGTCGTCTTACTCCGCTGTACCGCCTCACCTAGGCTCTGGCACGCCCCCTCCAGTACCGCCTCCGTGTCCGCTTCCTCCGAGAGCCATAAATTACTAACGATTAACTTTTTGTGGGCCATCGACAGCGACGTTGTCGTCCTCATCCAGAATTAATCAAAGGGCCCCCCTCGGAAAAAAGCAAGAAAAAAGCAGAGAAGGCCATTCTGGATATGGCAGGGGAATGAGCCAGGGAATGGCTCTGGGAATGGGGGTCGAAGGTCAGCTTAAAGACTCAACGGAATGTCAGTTGGCACAAATTTATGGCTTATGGCGGCAGGGCAAGCCCATGACAATTGGCCCAGGAAAATGGCCTACCAACAAAAAAGGATTAGCCAGAAAACAAAGGGAAATTACTGACAAACATACGGTTTTTTTCAAGGATAAATATAAATAAATAATCTTATAAACATATAACATTTACTATAAAGAAATGTATATCTAAAAGTATATCAAGAAAGTATTTCGTTATACTTCATGCTTCTCAGATGCTGCAAATCTCCCTAAAAAGGACACTATATCCTGGCTGAAATTTGCCTAAACTCTTTAACGCTCGACTGCCGGCCCTTAATTGACCTTGAAGCCAAAGTAAGCCCAATAAGCCAAGCGTTGTTTGTCTACTTTCGAAGAGAGTTACCCTCGGAGCAACCACCAAACCAAGCCAAACCAGGGCTAAAGCTTTCGTGGGGGTAGCGAAAAATTAATTTTCTATGGCTTAAATTTGAATTAGTCCTCCGCCAGAGTTCCGAATCCGAGACTCCCGGACTTCATTACAAATGCAACGAAATAAACGGCGAAGGATAAGGGCTGAGCCATGAGCCATGAGTCCCTGCTCTGGCCCTGTCCTGCCAAGATGAAGCACTCGGAAAGTGATAAAAATATTTATGTCTGGGCGAAATTCCAGCCGACGGCTGTCCCACTTCCTTCCTTCCCCTTTTTCCTAGTCTTGACCAGCTCTGGGCAGCATCTCTCCTCCTCAGAGATTTACGAACACAAACAGAAACAAAGCGAGCTACAAAGAATTTTCACACCGAATCTAAGAGTTCTGTGCTTGCCATACTTTCAAAAATGAATTAAAAACAAAAAAGGTGAGATTTAAACCTCATTGTCTTTTAAACTAATCAAAAAAGCTTTTAGGTTTCTAATAAATAAATCTGAGAGCAAGTATTGATTTCTTGTGTGTTTTAGGTAGACATTAAATCGATTTGCAATTGCTAAACAATATCGATGTTATCTTAAATTACCTTTTATTGGCATTATAATCCCAATGTCCCTGACTATAGCTACCCCTTGAGGCCAAGGACATCGTGTCGCAGAGTAAACATTGAGAGAGAAAAACGATTCATTTTGCTACCTGCTGTCCTGTGGCTTATCTCGCGGTCCCCGAGCATCGTCCAAACCCATCCCAATCCCCTTCACCAGCTCCAGGTAGCCAGAGCTTCGCCTGCTTCCAACTCATTGGGTTGCACATTAATATTTAGATTTGCTTTATTCGCTGACGATTTGTTTCGATTCCGTTTGCCGTTGCCCGGTCGCAGTTTGGCCAGGCGAGCCGAGAAATTGATCCCATTCCCGTGTCCATCCACCCGCACAGTCCCGGCACAGTGGAGCAAGATGAGGAAAATTGTCAACAGAAATTATCATAAAGTATTTCCATAAAAGAGAAAATCGTATCGATTTTAATACCTCGGCAGGGTATTATTATATTAAAACGTAGTGAAGGAGTAGACCCTATAAATCATATATATTCCTGATCAGAATCAACAGCCGAATCGATTTAGCCATGTTTCGAGGAGAAACAAATTTTTTACATTTTTTCAAAATTTCATAAGGGGTTAAATCGTTAAAATTGTCAAAAAATGTATAAAATATATATAAAAATTTCAAATTTTACAAATTTTAAATAGAGTACGCAGGTTTGTTAATCCAATAAAACCTAGCATAGAACAGCTTTCCGAATTGAAATTAATGTATTTTTGGCTTGGGTATGAGATTTTAAAAATTTGATTTATCGAAGAAATTGTCATAGAAAAAAATAGATAAAAATTTATCCTTTAACTTGATTGAAAGGTATACAAACTTCAGCTTTCCGAAGTTAACTTTTGTTCTTAATAATTAGTAAATTCTAATACTACATTAACTTTAATCTGAAAGACTTTCAGCTTTCCATAAGTTTATGGAACACTATTTTAAAATTTTTTTCACTGTTGAACCTTTACAACAGTGATGTCCTTCGTCTGAAATTTTTGCCTACCAGTCCCACTGTCCAAGCAGTGGCTCATTGCCTCACCGCTCGCGGGTCTCTGGGGTCGAGTGAAGCGCATCTAATGCGAGACATCTGTTAAATTTTTGGCAGGCTGCATTGCAGGACCAAAGGTTGAGGCTGAGGCAGAGGGTGGGAGTGGCATGTGGCAAGGGAAACCAACAAGCCAAAGGGGACATTGTCCTGCGTCCTGCGTCCCTCATTGAGATGCCGCTTTCTTTATTACATTTATTTGTGTGTGATTTTCATATGTTTACTATTCGCCCCTCACCATCTCGCTGGCACTCTGTGCGAGGGTGTTGCGAGGGGTGTTTGGAATGTTCGGGGGCGCGACTAATTCGCCGCGTTTACATTTGCAAATTCCGCCTGGTAATCCCGGCAGCTGTGCGCATTTAACGTGTCCAGGGGGGGTGCAGAGAAAGAGAGACAGAGAGAGGTGTAAGCGGAGCTACAAATTTATACAGAATCCCCGGGAAGGAGTACTAACAGGAGCAGGAGCAGGAGCAGGAGCAGGAATGGGAGTGCGAGTCCTGGGCTCGGAGCAACTGACTTGCAACAAATTGCGGCAGTACTGCTTAAGTTGCACTGTCAGTGAGTGCACTTGCAGAAAATATTGTCTAGTAATCAGATCCATAAAGAAGTAGAAATAGAAAATACTCGGAAAAAGAAAGACAATCGCTCTCCGATACCTTTCTCCCAGTATAGCTTTAAAAAGAGATGTTGAAAAGAGATGAAAGCCTCTAGATATTATCCTACTTAACTTAAATGTACTTCCCCATCACATGTAATAAAAACAGCTCACAAATTTCTCTCAGTGCTGGAGTAACAGTTGCTAAAACAGTGGCAGTAATGGGTAGGACTTACCTACCGGTTGGCAGCTATATTGTTGCACATATGCAACTCGGAGCACTCTGGACCCAAGCTTCCGTGCTCTGGTTCTGGCAAACCGAAAGCAAAATGTTACATTTTATTGCATAACCACAACATACAGCATATAGCATATAGTATCCTCCAGCAGGAGCATCCTGCGGGGCAACGGGGGCGGCGTGTCAATGTGATAAAATGGTGGCAGCTTCCATTTGGTTGAATTTGCTCTTGTTTCGTTTGCTTTGGCCACGGAGTTCAGCTAAAAAAATAAAATAAAGTTTACATTAAAAAAGAAAAAATGTATAAAATAATCCATAGAGAGGACAGAGCGCGAAAGTGCATAATGAGTGTCCTTTGTGTAGTGGCAGGACTCGAGACTGTACTTAATTTGCATGTTGAGACCCATTTAGCTGGTCATCTGGTTATGGATGTGATTTCCTCGGCAGAATGCCTGGAATTTAAGAAATGAGCAAAGGCAGGCAGGAATGTTAATGTTTCCGAATTACACACACTTTTGTTTATTAGGCGGAAGACTGAATATCCTTAATAGGAATGCACAAAAGGATTCACAACCAATTGAGCTCAAAGCATTCTCCAGCTGAATGAGAGATTAACAAAGCCAAGCACGTAGCAAGGCTGAGTGGGATGCAAATTGAGTTTGAGAGTTTTATCTTTCTTTTAAAGACTGACCAAGGCACAATTATGTTTGTCCCCAAAAGAGAAATACAATTTAGGAAAAAGGCTACTGGATGACCATTAAAAACACTTCAATTGAGTACTTTACTAAATCCTTATAAATTCATGTATTATATATCATTTAGATTTCGAATTTACCAAGCTTCCTTTAGTCTGTTTCGATGCAATTGAAACCGAACTTGAACTTGGTTTTCTCTCTCGAGGGAATTCCAGTCGATCCTTTCACTAATGGCTTCTCCTGGCCTAGCAATTCCTGCCAAGTTCCAATTCCTGTCCCGCAGTTTCTTAGTTTCTGTTCACCCGTTTGATTCATCACTTTTCCTTGGTATTTAATTGCTCCCCCGAGCATTTCAGTGCTTGGCATTTACCCGCCAAACTTGGCCTGCAAAATGGTGCAAGACAGGCCGTGGCAAAACACCCTGCAACTTGTGCTCTATGTATTGTTGCCTTGCAGCTTCCCCTTGTGGAACCCTGTACTCTAGCCTGGTCTTGGCTTTTCCCCCGAAAAACAACGATAAGTTGATGACTTTTTGGCTTTTAGCTAGCAAACTCGAAAACCTTTCAACTGCACAAACTCCCCCTCGACTTGCAGCATTCTTTAGTGGCTGTTTGTTGCATATTTTCTGTTTCTGCTACTGACTTTTTCTCAAGCAATTACTTTTTAATTTGTGCAAGCATTTTGCACCAACAGAAGCGGCAAAAGCTTCTTGTGTCTGGCTTTCAACTTTGAACCGAGTTCACACTGAGGCAAAAATGGGGGCCCAAAACGAAATTGATCTTTAAGAAGGGAAAACAGGTGTAATGCTTAAAATTAATTAGATTAATTAAACTTAAATAAGCTATTGACAGTGTGAAGCTGTCAGGTTTACAATACAAATAATAGCTTAATATATACAACACGAGCTGGGAGCTGGACAAATTGTGATTTGCTGTGGCCTTTTATAGGTTCCAGTTTTCTATACTTTAGCTTTTTGGCAAAACAAGCAACACCCACGTCTCAAATCCCATATGGAAGTGGTATCTCAGACAGAAACAAAAAAGTGGTGGAAGTGGTTGACCGCCGTCCTCTGCGTGGCATCGATATCGAATCATGTTATTATGGCTATTTTTGGGGGGCTTTTTGGCCAGCTGTTGCTTGCCAAGAGTTGCGGTGGCCAAGAGAGAGAGAGAGAGACGTCCGCAAAGGCACTTCAAAGAACCAGGTTCTGTCGTCATCGGTGGTTGTGCTGCTGCTCCAATTAGTTTATGTTATAAAATTTAAATTGTTATTTATGATCTCAAATAAAGTGACCGCAAGGAAATAGTCTTTGGTCCAATCTGATGGCTTCCTTTGCGGCTCAATGCTCTTTTGTGGGTAATTTATGGTCTAGAAATAGTCTAGAAATTTCTATATTTATAATATTTTATATCCCAAACTCAGGAATATGTGAGATATCTCTGCATTTCTGATTTTCCACCTTGCACAAAAGCATATTTCAATTAATTTGCTTCACTTTTTCCAGGCTTTTCTTTGGGGGTTTTCAATGTGTGTGCTTTGTTTTCTTTGCATTTCATCTTGTTTGCTTTTATATTGTTTACCCTCTGGTCCTGGTAGATCCTGGCTCACTGAAAATATATTTCCTTGCTTTCCTTGTTTTTTCCCAAATGGTTTTCCCCTTTTTTTCAGGGGGCTTTGAAACTCTAAAGTGCATTATGCATACTCGTGGGAAACTCTTAATATATACTCGTAAATTATAGGAATGATTCATGTGAATGAGTACTGCACTCAGGGGTACTTTGAGCTGATTATATTCGACCCTGAGTCTCAGTCACGAAAAGATTCGATTTCGATTTGGAAAAAACAAATCTTTGACTCTGTTTGAGTTTAGGTTACAAGTTCAGATTATTCACTAATTATTCGCTATTATGTTCAGTAGAGTTTTGTGGCTCCTTTGGCTTTGGCTTTGAAATTCCTGGCTTGTCACTTCTTTTCATTAGCATTGAGCTGTGAAAATTTAATTTGTTACGAGTCTCTATGCACTGCAAAAAGAAGTGTAGACTATCCTTAGTTATTTTTTATCTATCTTTAGAGTGATCCCGCTTCCTCTATGTATATGCTGTGTCTTTTTTTTACGAGTGCTTTGAGTGTGTGTGTCTCGGCACTCATTCATTCATTTAGTTCGTCATTCATTTGCTCGTTCCATTCAGCGGATGGGGAAAACTGAACTGAAAAAAATCCTCGCTCTGTCTCTCTTTGGAATTGAAAATGGCAAAGTTCCGTTTGTGCTTCTGGTTGTCCTTCCTTCTCTCTCTCTCTCTGTCTCTCTCTCTGTCTATCGCGCTTTTCCTACAAATTGCAATTAGTGTTGACTTATGCTGCAATGTTGCAACACTTTTTCCCCGCTTTTCCTGCGGCTACACACACTCGCTCAATATCTCAGCTGCGCACTTGCCCAATTGAGTCAATGAAAATGCAATTTCTCAGTACGACCTGCTTTTCCTTTGCGGTCTGAGTGAACCTGTGGCCACCTGTGAAAAGCCGCCGTCCGGCGGTATTTTAATTGCCAAATGCTTTGTTCTATGCCGCAGCTGAGGCGATGCAAAACAACAGCAATTACAATGGGACCTTATGCAGAGAGAGAAAATTGGGGAAAACCAGGAAGTATTTGAGGAAAAATCAATGCCTATTGAGAGGAAAAGTTCTTAAAGCAACCTTAATTCTAAAGATGCTATTTAAATTGAGTTTCTATCTTTATTTCTTATATTTTTCTTTACTTTTTCTTTAATTTTCTTTACTTTTGTTTGGAAAATTCTTAAATTTCCCTCTGATTTCACTCTCTGAAATTGGGGAAAACCAGGAAGTATTTGAGGAAAAATCAATGCCTACTTAGAGGCAAAATCCTTAAACCTTGCTTAGCTCTAAAGATACTCTTTAAATTGAGTTTCTATCATAATTTCTTAAACTTTCCTTACTTTTCCCTTGGGAAAATTCTTTAATTTCCCTCTAATTTCTCTCTCTGAACCTGAAATAATGTTTGGTTAGTTAGTTTTCGGTTTTATTTCCCTTCCAGAACTTCATTTAAAAGCCATTTTCATTGCGATCCAAATAAATTTAGAGGAAGAGGGTGACAAATCGAGTGGCGTTGTCACCGAGGCTCTTTTACAATCTGTGTGTGTGTGTGTGTGTGTGTGTCCCTCCTTCCCCCTCTCTGACACACCTCCCCTTCCTCCGTTGCCGCCCTGCTTGCCACCTCGTTAGCTGTCTTGAAAATTCCCATAAATTAAAGGCAAAGGAAAAACTATTAAAGCATTTTGTCGTGGCCAGGTTTTGCCATGTGTGTGTGTGTGTATAGACGAAAGAGAGAGTGTGTGTGTGTGTGTGTGTGTGCTAATGAAGAAAATTAGAGGGGTCATGGAGCAGAGCAGAGAGAGCGAGGGAGGGAGGGGTTAGGGTATTCAGAAGCCCATTACGAGAGACCAAAAACACACACTGGAAAATGAACGCAGAGTTGGAAAAATTGCGGGTTTTGCCTTTGAGATACTTTTAGTTTATAAAATAATGAATAATAAATGTATCTTTATAAAATATATTTTATATATTCTATTTTATATATATTAAAATATCTTTATTTTACCTTTCTTTCAAAGTAAATAAGCACTCAACTGTAATTGCTCTTTGCTTGATGCCAGCTGGGCATTATAAATACTTTTAGTTGAGTTTAATGTGTAATAAATGTAACTTTATAATATATATTTTATATATATTTAAGTTGATCTTTTCCCTACTCTTATTTCCAACTAAATGAACATTAAACTGTATTTGCTTTTGCTAGCTAAAGTTTCCCTTTGAAGAACTTAAGTGGAGAACACAAAAGCAGGGGCAAAAACTTAAAAAAATAATATTTATGCCAACTTTTGGCCAGGCTAAAAGTTGTGTTTTTCCCTCTCCCTTAACCCTCCCCCTTTGCCTCGTAACCCCCCCCCCCCCTCAGCTATCTGTAGTAGTCCACCTTTACAGGTCCCATCGGGGAGTCCCCCAAACAGAAGCACACGCACACGCACACGCACACACGCACACGCACAAATTAATTTCCAGGCAGCATTTTGATGGCCCTTTTTCCTCCAGAAATGGAAATGGAAATGGTTTTGGTTTGGGGCTGGGGTTGGAGTTGGGGGAACGACTGTTAATAAGTTGCAGCGATTTGTTGCCTGTCTGTCTGTCTGTTCCTCCTACCGCCACACCGAGCAAGTGTTAATTACTTCCAATTCGAATTTGTTTTTGGGTTAGTTTATAATTTCTACCTCATGTTTGTTTCTGTGAGGGGGTGAAGGGGGGTTCTTTGGTATTTTAACGCAAAAAAAAAAAAAACACTTAAGGGGGGAAGCGAGTGAGGCGCCCGTTTTATGGCAAGTTCTTGTGTTTCAAATAACATTACTGTAGCTATATCTATATCTTTATATGTATCTGTATCTGTATCTGTATCTGTATCTGTATCTGTATCTGTATCTGTATCTGCATCTGTATCTGTATCTGTATCTGCATCTGTATCTGTATCTTTCTTTGCTGCAATTTGAGGCCGCCTT